AATAAGACTATTTAAGCGTACAGTAATTCCTCTAGCAGAGACGCAGCAAGGCAGCATAAAAAGCTTACTACTAAATAGCAGCTTACGCAGCTTCTATGCTAGCGCTTTATTTATTAACTCTAAAGAGAAAACTTTTTTTAGAGTAAGTCTTTCTTTAATTTACTGTCCTTACTAGAGCTTATAGTGTTTAGCTTCTGCGCTGCTTCTATAGCTTTGCTTTTAGCGTAGGCATAAGAGCAGTTGCAACTTATATGTTCTAGCTAATAGCATAAGTAGTAAGTTATAGCATCTTTTATTAAAGCTGCCTACACTTAGGGTGTTGCTAGAGTTATTAGAGCAGTAGTAGTAGCAGCAGGTTAAAGAATATTCTAACGTGTAAGCTTCTCTTAACCTCTCTGCGCGTGTTACGCGCTTAACTCTGCAGTAGACCTCTATAGTAAAAAGGATATCTAGTAGGCTTACTTTATGTAATTAAAGAAGCTAACTATTAAGTTATTATAGTAAGTCTTTATGTGTACTTAAAGCTAACTTAATAAGGCGTTATAGATCTTATTCTTCTACTGCTTAAGCAGCAGCTTAGCTTTATTTATAAGGTATATAAACTAGGCTTTAAAGTTTTTAAAATCCTAAAATAGCTTTATCTTAAGCTAGTAAAGCTTAGTCTTAGCTTTTATTTACTAGTTAGTATTTTTAAAGTTTTTTTCTAAAAAGCTTATAATATTTTTAGTTATTACTAGCTTACTTTACTACTTTTAGGCTTTAAAGTAGAAAACTAGTTAACTTAGTGCTTAACTACTTACTTTACTTTTAGTATAGTGTACTTAAGTGTTTTTCTCTTTTATAAGGTTACTATCTGCAGGTATAAAGTAGTCTATGTTATAAAGTAGCTTACTTATTAAGAGGTCTTTCTAGTAGTTAAATTTAACATTATTTTTACTTATAAACCTAGGCAGATCCTCTGCTTTAGCTAACAGTTTTAGCCTAGCTCCCTAGCTTATAGTACTAATATAAGAAAAGTTAGGTGTCTTTAGCATAGCTAGGTTAAATTATAGTTGTTTTTTTAGTGTAGTTAGTATAGGTGTGCCTCTTAGCGCTTAATAAGCTTTATTTAAGAGGAATAATTAGTTACACGCTAGCATAGTAGTAGCCTTAAGTTTTTTAACTTTATTTTTATAATTAGCTAGGTGTTTAAGGGTTTTATTTAGTAAGCTTTAAAGCTTTTATAGCTTTTTACTAACCTTTGCTTACTTAGCTTTTGCTACATTAACTGCTTTAGTAAAAGTATTAGTATAGTTTTAATAAGCTTACACTTTTAATAACTGCTATAGTAGCTTGTTTACTATAACTGTGTAATCTACAGCTATAAGGTTTAGTAAGTCTAAGTAAAGGCTAATTAAATTATAATTAGTAGTACTTTAGGTAATAGCCTTTGTCTAAAATAATAGTGCTTTCTTAGCCTACTAAGCGCGCGCGTGTGTAGTTTTAATAGCGTAGTCCTTTTTAAACACATTGTTAGTGTAGAACTAGGCCTAGCATAGCAGCGTTCTTAGTTTAGGCGTATAGGCGTTGCTAGTAGGCTAGGTAGTAGAATTAACACGCATTTTAATTCTTAACAGCTTTTCTATTTTAGTGCTCTTAGCTCTTTCTCTCTACTCTAGGGTCTAGCAGTCTGTAGAGGTATAGTGTAGTGTGAGCCCTAGGTCTAGTGACGGTGGGGCTAATAGTTAATTAGTGGTGGGTTTGTACGTAGGTTTGTACAGAGCCTGCGGCTCTCTTCGCGTTGTTGCGGTGGTAGTCAGTACAGTAGGCCCCCCCCTATAGTTAATTTAAACTAGAGCAGCAGCACTCCTAGCTTAAGGCTTCTTAATAAGGTATAATAATCTAATTATTACTTAGTGTTACTTTTACAGTTACCTAGCCTAACTAGGGCTTTAAGGCAGATAGCTATTATTAACAAACTAAGGCTTAGCCTAGTTATACTAGCAGATTTATCTAAGTAAGGGTTAGTTAGTAGATTAAGCTCTTAGAGCTAACTGCATAGTAGACCTAGATATTATGTTACTATTCTTTAGCTAAATAAGATAATTTTAGTGTAATGTAATAATAAGCACTATCTCTACTACTATATAAAGCTAGAGAAGTAAGGCAGAGTAGGTTAGCTTTATTTTAGCTACACTAAAATAGAAAGAAGAAAGGGAGCTTTAAGGGCAGCTCTGCAGAAGAAGTGCTTACAGCGCTAAGGCGCTAGTAAGGACGCTAGCGCTAAGTAAACTAATAGCGTTGCGCTAGTTGCACCCCCTATATCCTAATTAGCTGCACGGGCAGCTTGTCATGTGAAGCGCGACAGAGCTCTCTGCGTAGGACCGTCACAAGCTATATACATCTTATAGTTTCTCTAGTTGTTAGCATATAGTTAGAACTACACTGCAAAGTGTCTATCTAGGTAGAGTCTTATCTACTAGATTATTTCTTTGTCTGTTTAGAATGCTCCTTAGTTGTATGCTATGTAGAGGTAGCAATAGATAAAAATAGTTTAAGGTTTCTAGCAACTTTACTAAATAGTTTAAGTAGCGTAAGCTTTAAAAGCTTTTTAGCTATAATATTATTTCTTTTTTAAAGCTAACTATAGAGATTAGTGTAAGGCCGAGATAGCGCTTACGTGCAACGGGTATATATACTATTCTGTACTTAAAAATTAACTATTAGTTAATTATTTACACCTTTTTAGTTATATTAGCACAGTGGTATAAAGCTCTGTTCTTACATAATAATTAACTAATAGTAGGGTATAGTTAGTGTTTAACCTCTACCTTAGTTAGCTTTAAGCTAGTTTTTAGACTAAAACATAAGGTAGCCTCTTCTAGCGCTACGTTGTTGCTGCTAGAAGGTCTAGTGTATATAGCTTAGCTAGCGTAGGCTACTAAGCGTTGTTATTTATCCTGCGCCTCTAGGCCGCAGGTAGTCAGCCTCTAGCTAGTAACTAAGTCATGCGCAAGGCGTCTCTAAGCTGCGGGTAGGTCATGTGACGCCTAGGACATGCGTCTGCTAAGAAGGGGGATAATGTAAGGCTAAGATAGCGCTTACGTGCGACAGGTATATATACTATTCTGCACCTAAAAATTAACTGTTAGTTAATTATTCACACCTTTTTAGTTGTATTAGCGCAGTGGTACAGAGCTCTGTTCTTACAATTAGCAATCTCTAGCTTTATAATGTTAATTTAGCTTACAAGTTCTGCCTTGTTTTACGTAGAGGGCTAGGTACTTTCTAATAGTGCTAACTTAACTATTAAGGCATTAATTAGAGGAATTAAAGAGTTTACACTTTCTAGGTAGTAGTAATTAATGTTACAATTTCTACTTACTAGCGCGTCTTATAAGAGACGCGTGGTTTAGTACGCAGGCCTTGTAAGAGGTTTTAGGTATTAGTGTAAGGTCGGATGTCCTAGAACAGGCTAGTATGGCCTCACTTAACCTGTTTGGGGGTCACATGACCTGTGCTTCGTATTTAAGCATGAATCCTGACAAGCGAGGCTTGGCAGCGATTCGTCTCTCTTACAATACACTTCTATCTTTCTCCGAAACCTTGCTCTCAATGCTATCTGTGCTATCTACTATCCCATCTTTACAATTAGAGGAAAGAGTAGAAAGGTACGCGGGTGTACAGTCTAAGCAGCTGGCTACAAAAGGGTCTAGAGGTGTTAGCCTGTCATGGTTTGCCCTAGTCTGCTGTATAAGAAGCAAGGGAAACAATCTTAATAAGATAACAATTAGAGTATATATCTAGTGCAAGATATATAATAGTATAGTGTCTTTAAAAACTACTAATACTACTTAGTCTATGTAAGGATAAGACTAAACATTAACTATAACCTCTAAATCATAGTTAAGATCAAGACTATATACATAGGGTTGCGCGTCGTGCGCGTCGTGCTTGCTATGCGCGCATTCAAAGAAGGGAACATTCCCCTAGGATTGTAGCCAAGGGTATTCCTTCTTCCTCTGCTTTTAGTCTGTGTCTATGCGTAACATCACGTGACTCTTCTTGCGCTGTTACAAAGAGGTTCCACCACTAATTGTCTTGCAATCCAGTGGCTGTCCGACACTCGCTTATAGTCTACTCAGGGACTGTAACATATATTAGTGTAGAAAAAGTAGTTTAGTAGGGTCTTAGTAAAAGTAAGCAACTTAGTTGTGAAAGCAACTTGCCTGTAGTGTACGTTACTCTTCTTAGCAATTAGTACTTCCCTTTGTACTGTTGTCTAAACCCTCTTCACCCTCTAATTCAGCCCTTCGCGCCTAACATATCCTTATAGCAAGCATCTTAGTCTGCAGGACGTCACCGCCCGTAACACTTTAGCTATTACAGCAAGACTAGTTACAATTCCTACACTTATAAGGTAAAGATAAATGATGCTAATAGTAAACCCTTTAAATAATATTATTTTATTCTATAAGGAAATATAACTTGTTGTAGTGTTACGCATCAGCGCTGCGCAGGCGGTTCGCGTTGGTGAGGTGGCCTACTTGCTTGAGTGGCCCACTCGCTTGTGAAGTACGTGTAATGAGGTAGGCGCCCTGCCGGCCAAGCTGATACTATACGACTTTCCCCACTGTACCAAAAGGTACGCACGAGAATACTTAAGCTAAGTATTCCCGCATAGTATAATATATATGTAGATAATGCTAGGGCTAGCACTAGCACTAGCGGTTGCCTCTAGTCTAGCCTAAACCTCTATAAGCGAGAGAAGGCCACGTGGTTGACCGTGCCTACCTTGTTACAGTACGTTATTCTATTTTGTACCATCTGTTCGCTCCTAATTGCTGTGGAACTCTCATGTAACCCAACTGCCGGGGCTTACAAATGCGCTAGTACTATATACAAGGAATTATTCAATGAAATCTTACTGTATATACCAAATAACATTGCTGTTTTCCAACTGAAATAAACCCCTGCAATATGAGCAAGTCTCAGAAATTTGTTTCTGAAATAGAAACTCGCTACTCTCGGACAGGAGTAAGCTTGCACTTTAAAGGGTGCTTCTGCCACAGCGTGTATACCTCTTGAGTGTCCCAGTCATTGGACTCTTCATTGAGCAAGAGGTCGAAGTGGAATATGATCTTCGCGAGGATGATGCGCATTTCGTGGTACGCAAGACTAACGGTGAAGTCAATTGCCAGATTCCCAGGTACTGTAGGCATTAGGAAGACTCACTTCTTTCCAAGACAGTTCCTAGGACCATAAGCGAAAGGTTGTAGAGCGTGTTTGTTGTCCGAATTGAATTTCCCATCGGCTTCAGAGGTCCAACGCTCGGGAATGAAAGAATTGGGCTCTGCGAAGTTCTTCTCGGAACGGTACATGGCGAGCTGTTGGACCTGGACGGTGGTCTATATGAGGGATTAGCACGATTATTAATGCTTGTCACTCAAGTCAAACATACTCCTCCAGGGATATAGTCTCCGCAGATCTGAACACCCTGCGGTGGAACAAGATGAGGCAGTCCAATTGGGACTGGAGGATACATGCGAAGGCCTTCTTCGAGACAAGCATGCAGATACTTGAGACGCTGGAGTCCTTCAATGGTGATATCCTCGTCGCTCTGGAACGCGCCTCGAATTTCCGCTGCCAGTTTCTTGAGGACCTCAGGGTGCTTCAGGAGGTAGTAAGTCAGACCGGAAAGTAGAGTAGCAGTGGTCTCGGTCCCAGCAATCATGAAAACAGTCGTGTTAGCGTACATCTCACCCTTGGACAGACCACGGCCTTCCTTTGCGTTTAGAACTAAGTTCCAGATATCGGGTTGATCGGAGCCACGAGCGATACGGCGGTCAACACGGTCAACGCAGTACTGGAAGTGGACAACGCGCTTCTTCTGGAAAGTATTCCCAGTGAGTTTCTTAGCGAGGGTATACAGGCTTGGCCAGTAGCGGATGATGCCAGCCTTAGAACCTGTTCGGATCGACTTAAAGATATTGGTAACCCACGGAATGTATTCCTCGTTTGTCAACAGATACAAAGGCTCACCGAATGCAAGATCAGACATGATATCGAAGGTGGTGTAGTTGTACATACGCACCATATCGATGACATGGTTTTTATCTTTGTTATAGGATTCCTTGATCTTATGGACGAGCAAATCGGCGTACCTAGCGAAAAGTCCTTCCTGTTGCTTCAACGCCTTATCGGAGAAGGCGTTGGAAAAGATGCGGCGGGTGCGAGCGTGGTCGACATCGTTGGCTGAGATGATCGTGTGGACATCGTTGATAGCCGGAACGTACCAGCTGGGGTGCTTAATGGGCTTTGGCTGGCCGGGCTTCTGGTGGCCGTGAACATCTTTCCAGGCGCGGTGGTCGTTGAAGCTGAGTTCATTCGGTGAAACACGGACAACGTGGCCATATTTGTGATGCAGTTCTACCATTAAGTTATGGTATTGCCCTTTCCAGATACTGTAAACGGCAGGAATTTGCGTAATAGCATGGAGCTTTGGGCCGGGGAAATTTCGTAGAGGATGGAAGTAGAGTCTGTAGATGGCAGTTCCGATGAAGCGAAGAGCAACCTATGCTTCGATGTTAGCAATGAGAGAGGGATTGATAACTAGGTCTAACTGACAAATACCACCAGTCCCAAGACTGCCTTACTGAAAGTAAGAGTATGTATGATATGTGAAGGGAGAATGAGCGGAAGAGTTGACGAAGACATGATGATCGAGCACTGCTAATGCCAATGTTGATCGTTTCCTTTCAGTCTCAAGATTCAGGAATAACAAAACGAGGAGGACAAGGATGGTTATAAACACTCTTGCCCTTCCACGTCTTTCTCTATTCCAACTAGGACTTTGCTAATTACTGCTCAGAAAAGTAACGAGGCTCAATAATCCCCGGTGTTGCATCTAGGCTCGACCTCCCCATTTAGATGTCTTGAAACATGCTAGTCAGGTACACCTGTCTTTATCCCTCTTCTCATTGGATGAATAGTGTGCAATCTACAAGTCGTAGAAGCACGCACAGTCTCCACTGTGCAAACCCAATAGTCCTGCTCACTCTTACACTCACCCTTGTCATCTCTAAGTTCGGTGTTGGCTTGCAACTGGCGCCAGGCGTGCAGGTTAAGCGGGAACTACTAGACGCGCCCCAAACCCTTGGCCGCGAAGGATCATCGCAGTTTCATCTCCACCGTTGTCCACACCCTGAAAATAGAAGCCGGCTTATCTCAGCGTTGACAAGTGCACCCGCTTGACGGCCCAACTCACATCGGATTGGTGGGACGGTGCAGGGATAAGCTCTGTGGCGGAGCTTATCTTCAGCCTCACCATGGAGAGGAGGCCAGGCTGACAGCAAGGCTGGTCAAAACTGCGAAATATTTGGAGACCGCAGAATATTTAATTCTCTTCCAAGGGATCGTGATCCAACGCAGGTCATATCCTGGTAGGTGTTTCAGATCTTTCTTGATCTGATTTGATAAATCACACGAAAGATGCCATCCATCCCTGCACAAGGATTTAAAGCTCACCTCAAATGTGTCGGGTACCTGCAATCTTCATATGGTGTATATATGTATCACTGTGCAGCGAGGCTTCGGCTGTGGCACTTACATATGTTACAGTCTTTGATTTAGCGTATCTGTCGGGCCAGGTAATCGGTTATCTCAGGTGCTTAGCCGACTGTGCAGATGCCACGATCAGGCTTGACCTTAGCCGCTTGCGGCCATATCAGACCAGAATGGACAAAGAATGACCAGCCGGATGCAGCGAGACATAGAACAAAGAAGTAATGTGTATATAAGCAGTAACAAATCTATGCCTTAGAGGGCAGCAATTTGTCTAAGTCTTTAAGGATTAAACTTGTTTAGATCTTAAGTTAACTACTTTAGATAAGAGCAGTTTAGTCTGTCTTTAGTGTATTACACACCTTTATTTTTAACATTTAAATTGCTACCCCTAAGACACAGCAGACAACTCGTATTCTATCTTTCCTACCCCCGCCTACCTTAACAGAATATCGTGCTGTTTAATTAAGTAAATACGCTGTCTAGATACGCTGTCCAGAGGCGCTGTCTAGAAGACCTAATTATGCATAGCAATGCTAGAAACCTTTAGGGGCTAGCTAGAACTGCAAGGGACAATACTAGCTAAATGTAACAATTCTCATGAATCGTTCCATCTCGGGTCGCTCAGAACCTATCCGAAGAGCCCCTGTATCGGCCCCAACCCTGACTTGACCCTGTCCCCCGCAGTTACCCCTATTACCCTAAGTATTTAGTCGCACCTCTTCTCTTAGCTAGCTTAGTAGTTTTCTAATATCCTTTTATACAAGGCCTATAGGTGTTAATAGTATTCCTAGGTTATTAAGTCCCCACGCACTCCTATATGCCTCTAAGTGGATTCCTACCACATTCAGATCCATTGTCTTGCCTGCGCTGTTACACTAAATATAAGAGGTATCATACGCTAAAAGTAGCAGGGGCTATATTAGGTCTAAAGTTAATAGGCGGAGCCTGTACTTAGACGCTAAATGTAAGCATCTAATACCTAAAGCAAAGGATAGCTCTGCTATTAAGTTATAGGCATAACCTGTACCTAGACGCTAGATAGGCTACACTAGGTCTAAGGTGATAGACTGTCACGGTATCCTCCCCGGATCCCAGACATAACCGTATTAGACGCGTACTAGAGTATTATTAGTGCACGTCTGACACGAACACAACACAACACAGACATAAACTTAAGCATAAACTGCTTTAACACTAACTAAACCTAGAACAGGCTTAATTTATACCTAAAGCGCTTAGACTTTTAAGCTAAGTATTTAATTACTAATTTCTTTTTAAACCTTTCTATTCCTTACATAACATCTTGTACCTACTATAATACCTTACATAGTAATTAAACTAGACCTCTGTAAAGCTCTATAACCTTACTTATGCATAATTATAACATTACATTATGTTAAAACTCTAGCTAAGAATAGCCTCTAAATCTAATTTAATAAGCTTAGTACTTGCATAACTCTAAGCTATTAAAGTAAGCTAAAAAGCCTTCTAAGAAGCGCTTACTTTATAAGAAAGCTACTATATTATAAGCTTTAAAGCTCTTTAAAAGAACTTTAAAAAACAGCTTTACATTATTAAGCAGTTTATTTCTGCCTTAACTCCTGTTATAGTAGTAGGAACTAAGAACTTACTAGCCTTAAAGCTTACTTAGAAGTCTAGAGATAGCTTAACTTCTTTCTACCTAACACTGCCTATAACCTATAACCTTTCTAACTTAGTAATAAAATCTAACTAACTCCCTAATCCCCTACTATTTAATAGAAAACAGAAAGACCTACCTTTCTTTCTACATAAGCTCTAATATAAACTTAAAGAAAATATAGACTAATTTCTCTCTAAACACTTCTAGTTACTATATGCCTACTTTTAACTTAACTATAATATAATAGCCTTAATTAACTTACTAATAAATAAGGATATTATTAACCTAGATTAATTTATAGTGTTCTTATAAGTAACTTATAAAGACTTAAATAAAAAGTTAATAGCCCTAAGTTGCCTAAACACTTTATAATAAAGAAAAAAAAGCTTTACTTTATACTTTACTAAGTTCTGCTAACTTGCATCTAATACAGGCCTAAATAAGATAGGTCTAATTACAGCTCTATATAACTCCCTCTTAACTAAACTGTAACGCGCTATAGTAGGAGAACCTCTTCTAAACAACCTTAACGCGTATGCAAACCTAATTACTACCTACAATAATAACATAAGGTTCCTCCCTATACAAGCCCTAATACGCCCCTAAACTAGTGTAGTTGCAAATAAGGACTCTAACATAATAAAAATTAATTTAAATTATGCTTTAGTTAGTTCTAGAAAGCATAAAGATTATAAAAAAAAAAAGTTAATGCTTTAAGTGCAGTAAGCATAGTTATATCTTTTAAAACTGCTTTATTTCTCTCTCTTAAGTCTACGTAAGTAGTGCTGCTAGCACTTATTAAAGATCTTTACTATTTTAATTTTATTTCTGTAAAAGCTCTAACTTGTATTTAAGCCCTAATCCCTCTTACTACTCTTAACATAGCTGCAGCTATAGTAGTAGGAGCCTGCAAAAAGGCTTGTCCTAGGGCTAAGTTGCCTCTTAAGACTAATTTAACACTAGATCTCTGCTAACTTATAGGCTAAGTCCCCTACTAACAACTAGAAGTACTAAGTTAATATTTCTATATATTTATAATAAGGAACTATATTAGCCTTAATATAGGCTCTTATTAACTTAGAAGTAAACAGCATAAGTTACATTAATAAAGAACTAGCGTGTAAACTAAATCTTTAATTAACACTACTTACCTAAATAATTTACCTAACTAGATTTAATAGAAAATAACTTAAAAAAGGTTTTATCTTTTGTACTATAACTATTATAATTACCTACTAACACTATAAGGAGCAGATTAAGCTCTATGTAATAAACATAAGATGTTATAACCTAATTCTAGGACAACTATAGCTATATTAGCATAAGGTTGCTTTTAATTACTAAAAGTAAGTTTTAAACTTTAACTCTTTTTAATGCTAAGATATATGCTTATGCTTACACTTAAACAACACTTAAATAGCACTTAATATAGAAGGTCTCTAGACTTACTCTCTAATAACCTAGAGAAGAACTACCTAAGTAAGGCTAACAAGCTAGGCCTTTTACTAAAATAGGCTATGTAAAATAATTTAATAACTACTTAAACTTAAAAAAAAGAAAGCTTTTAAGAAACCTCTACTTACCTAATTTAGACATAAACTAGGACTTAAACAGTAGATAGACATCTGCTACATAGGACCTGCCCTATTTATAACCCTAGCTTAACAACTAAATTATAAAATCTACACAGTTATAATTTCTAATATAGACTAAGCTTTAGCTCTTTAAAAACACACTAACTTAAAAATAATAGTTTCTTAAGACTACTATAACTTATTGCATGTTTTCTTTTAAGACAAGTCTAATAAGCTTCTAATATAACATCTATATAATTACTAGATAACCTTTAAGCCTAGTAAACAACCTAGTTATAAGCTACTATATAGAATGTTACTAAATAAATTAAAAGTGCTTTAAAAATACCTTAACAAGAACCTAAAAAAAGAGTTTATTTAAGCTAGCTTTTTACTAGTAGTGTTACCTATACTATTTATAAAAAAACCTAAGAGTAGGCTTTAATTTTGCGTTAACTACTAAGAACTAAACACTGTTACTATTAAGAACTAATACTTAATTCTTTTTTTATAGAAAACTCTAAGCTAACTAAGTAAAGTAAAGTATTTTATAAAGTTAGATATTATTACTGCTTTTAATAAGCTAAAGATAGCAAAGGGTAATAAATAGCTAACAGTGTTTTAAACCTAATATAAACTATTTAAGTACCTAGTAATGCCCTTTAGCTTAGCTAACGCGCCTAGTACTTTTTAACATTTTATAAATAACTTACTCTAACCTTACCTAGACATGTTCTGCACTACGTATATTAACAATATTCTAATCTACAGCAATAGCCTTTTAGAGTATAAACAGCATGTACGCCTAGTGCTAAAGGCTATAGAAGAAGCAGGTCTGTAACTTAACATAGATAAATGCAAGTTCTACTAATTAAAGGTCACATATTTAGGATATGTAATCTCTACAGATAGCATCTAAATAGACCCTATTAAGG